TGTCCGTTTGGTCAGGAAAAGGGATCCTGGGAAATAGGAACACCGGCCTCACAGACTACGACTACTTAGCATGTATGTGGTGCTTCCAAGCATTCACAGTAACCCTGACAGCAAGCCTATTTGAAGAAGAGACTGGGTTTATACCCCACCCTTCACTACCTGGAAAAGTCTCAGAGCGGCTTACAAACTCCTTTCCCTTCCCCTCCCCACAACAGACACCCTGTGAGGTAGGCGGGGCTGAGAGAGCTCTTTCGAGAATGGCTCGTGAGAGGACAGCTCTGAGAGAACTTGTGACTGACCCAAGGTCACACCAGCAGCAGCACGTGGAGGAGTGGGGACCCAAACCCGGTCCTCCCAGATTAGAGTCCACGCTCTTAAACACCACGCCAAACGAAAGCTCCTCCTGTCACCCATTTTTGTTAGTCTTGAAGGTGCTACTGGACTCTTTTCTACTGCTACAGACAGACTTAACACAGCTACCTATCTTCAGCAATCGTATGGAAACGTAGGTTGGTACTATCGGCCAGGAACTACGTTGCAGTAGTTGCCTGCCACCACCTAGCCAGCTCGTGGCGGAAAAAATAGCGATGCTCTTCATCCTCATGGTATGCAGCCTCTCAGACCTGCGTTCGAAACGGATACACACAAAGCACTGCTGGTCTCTCACCTCTTCCAGGGGGGTAATCGAGGAGCTCTCGCCCCCGTAATACGGGTTCCGGTCCATGTGCAAGACCTTCTTGCCGTTCACAGACATGATGCCAGAAAGGATGCATTCCTAGGACAGAAGACAGGGAGGGTTAGGCGTTCTTCAGAATATTAGCTCAAAGTCAGGAACAGGAGCTGAAAACGGAGTACTCCCAAAGAAATCCGGAGAATTCCCGCATCAGTTTCTTAGGGGTCTTCTGGCCTCTGCCCTGGGATTCCCGCATCAGCTGGCCCGGCGAAATTGACAAGGACCTTTTCCAGCCTTTGCATAGGAACTATCTAGACTCAAGCTTAAATCTTGAAAACACTGAAGCCACTGTCTTCTCAACAGTCTAAGGCAGGGGTGTCAAACATGCGGCCCAGGGGCCGGATGAGGCCCCCGGAGGGCTTCTATCAGGCCCGCAGTGGAACTGGCTGCCTTTTGCTTCTTCTCTCAGTTCTGCTGCTGCTGCTGCTGCGTCATCGTAGGTTTGCAGCTTACAGATACACACCTGAGCAGCAGACTCAAGACTGCAACAGCACAGAGCAAGAGGTGTCAGTTAACAGATACGGTTAAATAAACAAAATATTGAGAGAGTGCTGATGTTTTAAGCATGTTTTTATTTTAAATTAAAAAAATCCCTTTCTGTTTGTGCCCTTTACAAAGTTTATCTCTCCGCTACCTGGCATTACATTTTATGACACACACAGCCCGGCCCAACAAGGTCTCATTTATGTCCGATCCGGTGCTCATAACAAATGAGTTTGACACCCCCCATTTAAGGCAAGAATCCCCAACGTGGCGCCCACCAATGCCATTCTCGGTGCCTGAGTGTTTTTATAAAGTGGGTGGGGCTTTTTGTGGTTCTGATGTTAATGATGACAGCAGGTTTACGTGAAGAGCTGGAAAGCTACTCTCAGAGTTCTGCATGACCTCACCCGCTGACATTTTGTGATTGGCTCTGCCTCCCGTGGCAGGCATTTCTGTGGCCACACCCACTGCCCTCTCAGAATTCCAAATGTGCCCACAGACTTAAAAAAAGGTTGGAAAGCCCTGTTTTCGGACTAAAAGGTAATGCCCACCCACCTGCAAGCAATGATCAGACTCGGTCTTCTTCATGTGCCTTCATAAGCTCACACTTTGAGACTTAAGGCCTACTCCCCTTTAACTGGATCATATACTGCTCTGGTAACAGCGGCAGACCAAAAAACTGGATGGGACGCTTCCATGTCAGTACCACTGCCTGCTGTGGCAGGGCAGGCCAGCATTTGAATTTCCCACACAATCCGTTCTCTGAAGGTTAGGTCAGCCATCCTTTCCAATACACCAAGACTAGCAATGGATCCAGTCACAGGGGAACAGCAATCATGCTATACTAGGAACGTACAAAGAGGTCTTATGTTGAAGCCCTAACGCAAGTCCTGTTTGCAGGATAAGCACCAGGCCCAACACGGCATCAGCGTTTTGGAACGAGAGCGAACTGGGGCATTTGTAACCCGTGACGTCACAGACGCTATCCAATAGGCTCCTGTGACGTTCGTGCAACTATATTCCAACACGTCAGTCCAAATCACTACGGATGTTGCCGGCTGGAGAAGCAACCGTAGTTCCCCAGCGGGAATAAATTATTGCTTTAAGTGCAGAGAGAACTTAGTAGGGAAGGTTTCCAATAACCGCAAGGGCGTCCATGAAGGAACACGTCCGGATGCCGCCACCCAGCAAATTAGGAATAACTGCACGTATGTTGTGCTATCAACCGCTAATCTGAAAGAACCCTCACGACAGCTCCACACTACAGAATTAAATGGGATTAATTATCACTCCTTGTCCCCAGGTCATCCCGGTGGCTGTGGTTCCGTGACAGGCTCCAGCAACCTCCAGCAGAATACTCAGCCCCTCTTCGCCAAATGACAGTCTGCGAGATTTTGGAAGTTACAACCAGTGTTCCCACCGAGCGGAGTCAGTGTGAGCCAGCTCATAGTTTTATAGCCTCCGGCTCACACCTTTTTGCCTTAGCTCAGGAAGGGATGTGGCTCCAGAGCAAACTGATTTATGCAAGGGCCAAGTCGCTCACTCACAACTTCAGTGCCGGGAGCTCACAGCGTAGAATTTTTGCTCACCAGACTCCACAGCTTAGAGGGAGCACTGGTTACCCCCCACGGTAAGGAACTGATGCGCTGAGTCCCGTGGATCTGCTGTTAACAGCCAGTGGGCTGAAAGTGATGGAGAAGAGAGTGGCTTCGTCCCATGAAGACAAGGTACTCCTGCGGAGTAGGGATCCCCAACTTTTTTGAGCCTGTGGGCAACTTTAGATTTTTGAGAGATTGGGGGTGAGTGCCAACCAATGTTCCCTCTAAGCTGTAGAGTCTTGTGAGCAAAAATTCTACTTTGTGAGCTACCGGCATTAAAGTTGTGAGCGAGCAATTTGGATGCTGCATAAATTAGCCTGCTCTGGAGCCATCCTTCCTGAGCTGAGACAAAAATCTGTGAGCCAGAGGCTAAAAAACAATGAGCTAGCTCACACAAACAGAGGGAACACTGGTGTCAACCCAAAAATGGGTGCTGCAGGTGGTGGCGCTTGTCTACGTTTTCCTTGGATGCATTGTCCAGCTGCTGGGAAGGTAGTGAGACCGGAGAAGTAGGGGGGAAGGCTTCTACTCCTGAACACTCCCGCAAGAGCTCAGGTCCCCGGCCTCTACAACTGTAACAGGGTTCCCCAAGGTGGCGCCCACATCGCTGGGGCGCTCACCAGGACCTGTGCCCATTGGCCCCGCCCACTTTCTGAAAAAATCTGGCCGGGACTAAGGGAAGCGGAATCCTAGAATCACAGAGTTGGAAGGGGCCCTACAGGCCATCTAGTCCAACCCCCTGCTCAGTGCAGGATCATCCTACGCCAGTGATGGCGAACCTTTTAGAGACCGCGTGCCCAAACTGAGACCCAAAACCCACTTATTGATCGCAAAGGGCCAACACGGCAATTTAACCTGAATACTGAGGTTGTACTTTAAGAAAAAAACAACTCATACATACACTAACTTAAGACGATCCAAACAAAGTAAGGAAAGCAATCCCAAACGCTTTCATTTACTTGAAATTATTTGGCAGAGAATTCGGCACTTTAATGATGGGTCTGGGCCTGGCTGGGGCGATGGCACGCGTGCCCACAGAGAGGGCTCTGAGTGCCGCCTTTGGCACCCGTGCCATAGGTTCGCCACCACTGGCCTAGAGCCTCCCTGACAAGGGTTGGTCCAGACGCTGCTGAAAGGCTGCCAGGGAGGGGGTGGAGCTCGCTACCTCCCGAGGCGGCCGATTCCACCGTGGCACGACTCTTGACTACCAAAGGGTTTCCCCGAAGAGCCAGCCGGTGCCTTCCTGCCAATGTTCCCTCCAGGGCTTTCTTTGTAGGAAAAGCCCAGCAGGAACTCGTTAGCATATTAGGCCACACCCTGTGCCTTCCCTTGGCTTGTTTGGGCGCCCTGTGGCTGTGGGGAGCACAAGCAAGCTGACCCTTGGACAGGTCAGGAAAGGCATTTAAATGCCTCCCCGATCCTTCCAGGGGGCCCCTGGCCCACCCGCCTTGGAGTCACGGGGTGGTGGTGGTGCAGCTCTCCTGGCCTCCCCTCTGTAGCCACGCATGGAGGTTTTGGCTGTAGTGGGCGTGGCCAACTCTGAAGCCAGCCGGAATTCCATTCCTGCCCCCAAAATAGCCCTGGTTCCCTCTAAGCTGTGGAGTCCTGTGAACAAAAATCCTACTTTGTGAGCTCCTGGCATTCAAGTTGCGAGCGAGCAGTTTGGCTGCTGCATCAATTAAGTTTGCTCTGGAGCCGCATCCTTCCTGAGCGAAGACAAAAACGTGCGAGCCGGAGGCTAAAAAAACCCTGTGAGCCGGAGGCTAAAAAACCTGTGAGCCGGCTCACACCAACTCAGCTTAGAGGGAACACTGCTTCCCGCCCTTCATTTAGACCCCTGATTGCGCGGCCTCAACAGGAACGGCTCCCTGCCCTCCTCTGAGTGTTGCTGTCGTTCAGGCGCGCAGTCGAGTCCGACTCTTCGCGACCCCATGGGCCACGTCACGCCGTCCTACGGAGTTTGCTCAATTTCCAAGCGACAGCCCTTCAGATACTTCCAGAGAGCTATCGTCTTCCTCCCCCCCCCCCACCCGCCCTCTAGACCGAACATTCCCAAGAAGTCCCTCAGCCTTTCCCCACAGGGCTGGGGCTCCAGGCGCCCCCCCCCCGATTATCCTCGTCCCTTTCTCTGCACCTGCTCCGTTCTGGCAGCTGCCACGGTGCCCACGGGCGCGATGTTGGGGATCCCTGCCCGAGTGCTATCGGCTACGAGTCGTAGGCTCTCCTCGATCCGAAGCCCTGCTCTGCCTGATTTGGAGCAAGACAAAACAAGTACTGAACATGTGCGGTGTGAACTGGCCCTCGGGACAAACCTGGGGTTTAGAGAGGAGGTCATGGGAAAGGACAGCAGCAGAATTGTGGGTTGGCGCAACGTCTTCCCCCACCCAAGCCAGCCCTATCTTCAAGCCTGCCCCAAAACAGAGGCCCAAATTTTGGTGTTAAGTCCGATGCAGCAGATTGGGGTTTCTCCAACCTGTCTGTGATGCTGCAGAGCCAAATGTGATGTCAGAGAAGCAAAGATCCCAAGGGTGCTGCAGACCAGTTTGGTTTGGGACCGGGGGGGGGGGGGGCTTCAGCTTGCAGGGCAAGCAGACCCTCCCAGGCCATTTCAGCTCAGGACAAAGTCCAGTTTGGACCAGAGAGGGGGTAGTTGCAGAGATGTGGAAGTCCAGAGAGGGCCCCTCCCCACTCGTTTGGTGTCGTGGGTTAAGTGCGCGGACTCTAATTTGGGAGAATCGGGTTTGATCCCCCACTCCTCCACTTGCATCTGCTGGATGACCTCGGGCAAGCCGTAGTTCCGACAAGAGCTGTCCTTGAAAAAGAGCAGTTTCTGTCAGGGCTCTCTCAGCCCCACCTACCTTAGTTTGGTGTTGTGGTTAAGTGCACGGACTCTAATCTGAGAGAGCCGGGTTTGATTCCCCGCTCCTCCACTTGCACCTGGCTGGATGACCTTGGGCAAGCCATAGTTCTGTCAGAGCTGTTCTTGAAAAAAGAGCCGTTTCTGTCAGAGCTCTCTCAGCCCCACCTACCTCCCAGGGTGTCTGTTGTGGGGAGGGGAAGGGAAAGGAGTTTGTAAGCCGCTCTGAGACTCCTTTGGGTAGTGAAGGGCAGGGTATAAATCCAATCTCTTCTTCTTCTTCTCTTCGACAGGATGGCAGGGCAGAAAATTTGAAGGTGGGGGGAAATGTAAGGGATCAGAAAACCCTCGAGCTAGACGAGACTGGATGTATACCCCGCCCTTCGCTACCCGAAGGAGTCTCAGAGCGGCTTACCATCTCCTTCCCCTCCCCGCCACAGACACCCTGTGAGCAATGCTCCCTCTAAGCTGTGGAGTCCTGTGAGTAGAAATTCTACTTTGTGAGCCACTGGCACTAAAGTTGTGAGTGAGCAATTTGGCTGCTGCATAAATTCGTTTGCTCTGGAGCCATCCTTTCTGGGCTGAGAGAAAAATGGGTGAGCCGGAGGCTAAAAAATGGTGAGCTAGCTCACACTAACTCAGCTTAGAGGGAACCCTGCCTGTGAGGTAGGTGAGGCTGAGAGAACTCTTGACAGAAACTGCTCTTTTTCAAGAACAGCTGTGCCAGAATTATGGCTTGCCCAAGGTCATCTTCACTTGGAGTCTCAGAGCGGTTTATGATCTCCTTTCCTTTCTCTCCCCACAACAGGCACCCTGTGAAGTAGGTGGGGCTGAGAGAGCTCTGAGAGAACTGCTCTTAGAAAACCGCTCTGAGAGAACTTGTGACTGACCCAAGGTCACACCGACAGCTGCACGTGGAGGTGTGGGGAGTCAAACTGAGTCCTCCCAAATTAGAGTCCGCGCTCTTAACCACGACACCAAACTGGCAGCTATCATCTGCCCTCATGACAGTTCCAAAGAGTGCAGAGTGTGAACACCCCAGGCAGGGTGAATAGTGGTCATGTTTATGACTAGGGAATCCAGCAGGCAAGGAAAAGGCAGACGAGTAACCTGAAGGGCCATATGGGCCACACTCCTAAAGGACTGGGACACAGGTCAGGAACCCAAGACTGGCAAACATAGAACGACTGTAGAAAGGGCCCGTTCCCATTCAAACGGGAGGGTGGGCAAGCAATGCTTCCCCTAAGCTGTGGAGTCCTGTGAGCAGGAATTCTACTTTGCGAGCGACTGGCACTAAAGTTGTGAGTGAGCGAGTTGGCTGATGCATAAATCAGTTTGCCCTGGAGCCCTCCTTCCCGAGCGAAGACAAAAATACGTGAGCTGGAGACTAAAAAACTGTGAGTTAGCTCACACTAGCTCAGCTTAGAGGGAACACCGGTGGCAAGCCCTCCACTGAGGGCAGGAAGAAGCAGCCCTGCTTGCGTCTCCAGTGCGCAAAGTCCCTAGTCCTGAGGCAGGGCAGGAAAGGGGGCAAACCCAATGTATGTTTGGGGCCGGTTAACGTGCCCCCTTGCCAGATCATACCCAGGGACACTGTGCGGGGAGAACAGTAAGAAACGCTAAGTTAATTCAGTTCTGCGGCAGGCCATGGAGGATGCAAAACTCAGCAGAGAAAGAAGATGCTGGTAAGGAGGCTTGTGAGATACGGAAGAGACCACCCGGGAGAAACACTACGCCTTTCCGAGACTCCGCGGATCTGCTACGGAAGACACGGGCTACGTCTTCTCCCACGAAAGAGAGATTTGTTTCAATGGTGGCAAAAGAAGTGAGCGGTGACTCGTAAAAGGTCGTCCCCTGCCGCAAATTTCGTTAGTCTTCAAGGTGCTACAGAACGCCTGCTCTTTTTGAATGCTGTATCTGAAGAAGTGATCTGCCGAGCCACAAATTTTGTTAGTCTTTCCGGTGCCACTGGACTCTTGCTTTTTGGTATCTGAAGAAGTGAGCGGTGACTCACGAAAGCTCTACCCTACCACATATACTGTCAGTCTTTCAGGTGCCACTGGACTCTTGGCCCTTTGGTATCTGAAGAAGTGAGCAGTAATTCACGAAACCTCTACCCTGCCACATATACTGTTAGTCTTTCAGGTGCCACTGGACTCTTGGCTCTTTGGTATCGGAAGAAGTGAGCAGTGACTCACGAAAGCTCTACCCTACCACATATACTGTTAGTCTTTCAGGTGCCACTGGACTCTTGGCTCTTTGGTATCGGAAGAAGTGAGCGGTGACTCACGAAAGCTCTACCCTACCACGTATACTGTTAGTCTTTCAGGTGCCACTGGACTCTTGGCTCTTTGGTATCGGAAGAAGTGAGCAGTGACTCACGAAAGCTCTACCCTACCACGTATACTGTTAGTCTTTCAGGTGCCACTGGACTCTTGGCTCTTTGGTATCTGAAGAAGTGAGCAGTGACTCACGAAAGCTCTACCCTACCACGTATACTGTTAGTCTTTCAGGTGCCACTGGACTCTTGGCTCTTTGGTATCTGAAGAAGTGAGCAGTGACTCACGAAAGCTCTACCCTACCACATATACTGTTAGCCTTTCAAGTGCCACTGGACTCTTGCTTTTCAGTATCTGAAGAAGTGAGCCATGACCCACGGAAGCTCCTCCCCTGCCCCAAATGTTAATCTTTAAGGTGCTCCTGGACTCACGCTCTTTTCTACTAGTGGCAGGAGATCTATTACGTGCAAGCAGAAGGTTCAAAATACTAAAACCGTGGTGGGGGTGCACTGATGGAGAGTGACAGAGAACTAAAAAGGGAGGACAGAGGTGCAGTGGGCACCCAAACATCTGTACCAGCTGCAGAGATGCTCAACAAAAGGCAGGGGAAGTGTGCTGCAAACCTCACACACACACACACACACACCCGCACACATACACACACACTGGTGGGATGACTGCAGGACTGACTAGGGATACTGTGGGAAGGAGGGCTTGCATACGATGCACCACCGATTGCAGTGATGCATTTACACACACACACACCCTTTCTGAAATTCAAACGGGACAGTTTTGCCAGCTGACCGGCGGGATGTGCCCCAATGCTCTCTCCAAGTTAGGGAGCCTTTTGAACAAAGAATTCTACTCCGTAAGTTCCTGGCATTAAAGCTGTGAGCGAGCGATTTGGCTACTGCTTATATCAGTTTGCTCTGGAGCCCTCCTCCCTGAGCCAAGACAAAAAGGTGTGAGCCGGAGGCTAAAAACCTGTGACCTAGCTCACACTAACTCAGCTTAGAGGGAACACTGGTGGGCCCCTCCGTCTTTAGAGCAGGTTGGAACCCATAAAGGAACTGGGGGTGTTGTTTTTTTTAAAACCCAGCAATCGATCTTGTCCGTGCAGGCTCCTCGGTTTTAAAAGCTGCCCCCGTTAAGAGGGGAGGGGGGCAGAGGGATGCAATTCCGGGGGGGGGGCATCTTTTCCCGGTGGAAGGCAGGCCGATGGCGTCGGGTTGCATCAGCAAAGCTGCAACCCAGACTGTGAAGGGGGGGGGGGGGGGCCGGGGTACATTAATGCACCCCGTGCCAATGCACCGTGCATTAATGCACCCTGTGCCAATGCACGGTAGTACATTAATGCACTCTGTGCCAATGCACCGTGCATTAATGCACCCTGTACCAATGCACGGTACATTAATGCACCCTGTGCCAATGCACCGTGCATTAATGCACCCTGTGCCAATGCACGGTAGTACATTAATGCACTCTGTGCCAATGCACCGTGCATTAATGCACCCTGTGCCAATGCACGGTAGTACATTAATGCACTCTGTGCCAATGCACCGTGCATTAATGCACCCTGTACCAATGCACGGTACATTAATGCACCCCGTGCCAATGCACCGTGCACGGAGCGATCGGCGTCCGGGCCGCTGCAACGCGGTGCATCGTCGCGGGCACTCCGGGCAGGATGCGGGCCGAGGGTCGTTGCAAAGGGCGATGCCACCCCTCCCGGCCAGGGCGGGCGGGCGGGCAGGCCAAGTAGGATGCCGACGCGGCGCAGGAGGGATGCAGGAGCCGGGCGCGGGGAGGGTGGCCGGAGGGACTCACGGTCAGGCCGGTGCCCAGCACGATCACGTCGTAGGCCTCGTCCATGATTGCCCGGTGCGGAGCCGCCGCCTCCTCCCCCCGCCCGCCCCAGCGGAGCCAAGATGGGCCTCGCCACTCCCCGCCCCGCCGGATCCCTCCGCCGGAAAGGAGTCCCGGAAGAGAGGGAAGGATCCCTCCGCCACGGGGAGACGCCCGCTCGAGGCTCGGCGACCGACAAGGCGGCGCGTGCGCGCTCCGTCTCCCCCCCCCTCCCATTTTCAGCAGGGCGTAGAAAAATAAGTTCCGGCCCTGCTGCTTTCTGCCTCCCCTCCTCCTCTTTGGGGAAAAAGGGGAGGCCGATCTCGAGCCGACACCCTCCCCCTCCCCCTCCTTCTCCTTGGCAACGGTCGCAGCACCGCCGGATCCTTTGGCCGGAGAAAAGAATCCGTGTTTTTTCCTTCCGAGGCTTCCCATCCTCCCCTCGCGTTTTGACGTTATTCCTCTCCCCTCGCTGGAGGGCGAGCGGAGGGAGACGAAGCCTGCCTCTCCCCTCCTTTCCAATCACTCCCATCCTAAAATATCCCCCCCCCGCCTCCTCCTCGCCACATAGCAGGACCAAATCCATTGGAAATGCGGCCCTCCAGATACTTCCGCCGAGGAAAATAGGGCCTGTTCCAGCCGCCTCAGGAATCCGCCCTGTCGGGAAGGGCGTGAGGAGAATGGCGGCGGTGTGGTGACCCCCTGGCAGCTCCACTCCTCCTGGGTCGTGTCTCCTCAGAAGCGAAGCCCCCACAGTGTTTCAGGGGACTGCCTTCTCTGCCAGGGAGGGAGGGAGGGCAGCCGCCCAGCACGCCCCATTCCCCGCCCCTCAAGGAGGGTGTGGAGCCTGATAATAACATGAAATAAACCAGGGCTTTTTTTTGTAGAAAAAGCCCAGCAGGAACTCATTAGCATAATAAGCCACACCCAACAGCAGAAACTCATTAACATATTAGGCCACACCCCTGATGGTATAGGTCATTAGCACATTAGGCCACACCCCCATGTTACCAGAAGTGTGGTTATCCAGCCACACCCACCTTTTGCTTCTTATTCTGTTTACCTTGCCTGTTGTCCAAACCCAGGGGTTTTTTTTGTAGCAGGAACTCCTTTGCATGTTAGGCCACACACCTCTAATGTAGACAACTCTAATGAG